GGATAGAGCAGGGTTTAGGGCTGTTGTGCATAGGGTCGCTATGAGTCAGAAACGACTCGACGGCACATAACAACAACAACAACATGGTGGACAGTGTTTGGTGGCACTTCCTGTTTAAAATAAGGTTGGAAGCAGGAGTGGCATCCACTTCCGAAATGGCTTGCCTCTGGAAACTCTATGAACAGTGCTCAGGTCTTCCATTCTTAGGGTGTCTATGAGTCGTCTACGACTCGCCAGCACCTAACAACAACAACAACGGCATTATTGTTGTTGCATGTCTATAATGTGATTAACATTGTCTCTCAAATATATGATAACTTCTTTCAGGAGAGGCAGTGCGGTATGAGGATTGAAAGCATGATGTTTGGCATCAAATTAGGTTAAAAATGGGACGCTGTTTTTCATAATCTTGATGGGAATGCTACTTACACTCTATATATCTAGTTGTCATAGCCATCAAACATGGATAATCATAGAATAGAATCTACTTCATAGGGTTGTTGTGAAAGTTAAATGTAATGCTGTTGTTGTGTACTGTTGAATTGGAATTGACCCATAGCTGACCCTCCAGCAAGTTTTCAAAGGTAGAATATCGTATGGGAGGAGACTGCCCATCTTTCTCCTATGGAGCAACTGGTGGATCCAAACTGTAGCTTTGCATTGGCAGTGCAGTTACTTACAACTAAGCCACCAAAGCTTCTAGTAAATGAAATAAAGCATAAATACTTGCTATGGGACCTGGTATTTGGTAAATACTCAATAAATATGCATGCTGTTATGTTTGTTGTTTTGAAAAAGTAATGTTTGAATTTAGAGTAGATTAGAGCCTTCTAAAATCTTTTGAAATATGCATCAAAACTGGCTTCTCTTAGTACAAACTTTTACTCTTCCTAACTGTTCTGTCTCCCTTGTCTCCCTTTGGCATCTTGCCTTGCTTTGTGTTACAAGGCTGTATTTAAGATCTGTCTAAGCTGTATTATAGTCATTATTGTTTGTATTCCTGTCTCATTCCCAAATCCTTTATTGTAAACAGAAAACACTCTCATTTCTTTCAGAGTATGATCTTCGATGTGAGTTGAAAGAATCCATTACAAACCATGGTGATTTTACAGAAGAATTGCCTCCGGATAAATTAATGGAAAATTTGTTAAGTGGCATTGATAGTGACTTAATGATGGGAGAATCCTGGGAATGTTCTGATGAGGATTCTGAGGAGAATCAGAGCAGTCCAGAATATTCTGAAGAGACAGTCACACAGCAGAGAATTGACAGGGATGTCAATAGAGATGCAGAATCTGGTGCAAACCTCAGTGCGAGTTATGCCCTTCCTCCAGAGAAAAGCCCCTTTGGGAAGAATTGCAAGCAAACTTCGGACATAATTAAACATCTGAGAGCCTATTTGAGGAAGAAAGCTAGATGGTACAAAGAAGGCAAGAAGTCCTTTACTTTCCATTCTGACCTTGTTCCAAATCACAAAGAACACCCTGGAGAAAAGGCCCAGAAACGCAGTGAAGGTGGGAGGTCCTTAAGTCACTCTTCACCTCATTCTGAATGTCCGAAACATAAGAAACTGCATTCAGGGAGTAAAACTCAGAAGTGCACTCACTGTGGGATAAGCTTTACTCGAAATGCATACCTCAAAAGGAGAACAAATAGAAAAAACTCCACGATGTGTGATAAATGTTGGAAAGCTTTGCATCTGGGCACAACCGTGAATAAAAATCAGAGTATGGAGACAGAGAAAACCCAGAAATGCAGTAAATGTGGAAAAATATTTTGCTACATTGCATCACTCACTAAATATCACAAGCTCCGCACTGGAGATACACCCTCTCTATGTAATGAATGTGGAAAGGTTTTCCGTAGCACTTCATCATTTAAACCCCGCCACAGAACTCACAGTAAAGAGAAACCGTTCAAGTGTGATGATTGCGGGAAAACTTTCACCATGGGTGCCCACCTAATTAAACACCAGCGAATTCATACTGGAGAAAAACCCTATAAGTGTAAAGACTGTGGGAGACCATTCAGCGACAGTTCATCTCTTATTCAGCATCAGCGAATTCATACTGGAGAGAGGCCTTACACCTGTAATGACTGTGGGAAAACCTTCAGTCATAGCTCCTCCCTTTGCAAACATCAGAGAATTCATACTGGAGAGAAGCCCTATAAATGTAGTGAATGTGGAAAAGCCTTTAGACAGAATTCTTGCCTTACTCGACATCAGAGAATTCATACTGGAGAAAAACCCTATTTATGTAATGACTGTGGGATGACCTTCAGCCATTTCACGTCTGTTATTTATCATCAAAGACTTCATTCAGGAGAAAAACCCTACAAGTGTAGTCAGTGTGAAAAAGCCTTTCCTACCCACTCACTCCTTAGTCGTCATCAGAGGATTCATACTGGTGTCAAGCCTTATAAATGTAAAGAATGTGGGAAGACCTTCAGTCAGAGTTCCTCTCTTAATGAGCATTATCGTGTTCACACTGGAGAAAAACCCTATGAATGTGACTATTGTGGGGCAACCTTTAGTCGGAGCTCAATACTTGTGGAACACTTAAAAATTCACACTGGAAGGAAAGAGTATGAATGTGATGAATGTGAGAAGACATTTAAAAGTAATTCAGGCCTCATTAGACACCGAGAGTTTCACTCTGGAGAGTAATTTCTGCAAATAAAATAGAGGGACATTTAGCCACAAACACTCCTGGTTTAAAACCTAGACTAGAAACTACCATAACATTACTACTGGTTATAATTTTAATAGATTGAAAGCTAGGAAAAAGACTCTTTCCATTTATCCTTCATCTTAACAAAGATGTTATCTTTGTTAAGTAGGTTTGTTAAAGTAATATCGAAAATGAGGGAAGTAGTTTGATAAGTGCAATGATTCTAAACTGCCAAGCTTGGATTTAAAACCAAGGGGCAGGGCAGGAAATTTGTGCATTGGACAACTCCACTCACCTTCAGGGATTCCCCCCCTCTGCCTTATCTCCCTTTCTCCATGTATTAGATAGAATACGTGACTCAAATTCAATAACCTGGATTCTGTCCCTGCTTGTCAACCACCTGGCTGTATCATCTTGGTTAAACTACCTAACTTTTCTAAATTTCAATTCTTTTTTTTCTTTTTTTTAAAATTTTATTAGTTTTACAGGGATTTTGGGTTTTCATTCCTTCATTGCTGCACCATTCTCTCTACCCTCTTCCCCAGTTTGTTCTTCTTCCCTGCCATCCGAATGTCTGTTTTAATTGTCCAATTGCCACAGTGCTTGTCAAAGTTAGTTCTGATTAATCTCCTTTGTCGG